GCTCCACGACGATGAGGACCAAATTCCGGTCGTCCAAGACCAGGTCATTGCGCGTTGTCGCCGTTGCAGGACGTATATCAACCCCTTTGTGACGTTCCTAGATCATGGGCATCGCTGGAGATGCAACATGTGTAACTTGAGCAACGATGTTCCTCAGGCATTCGACTGGGATGCCGCCGCGCAGCAGACAGTAGACCGAATGCAACGCCACGAATTAAATCACTCCGTCGTGGAGTTTGTTGCGCCACAGGAATACATGGTTCGACCTCCACAGCCATTGGTGTACCTCTTTGTGTTTGATGTCAGTTATGCCGCGGTTTCAAATGGCATGCTGGCTACCAGCGCTCGCACAATACTCGATAGCCTTAGCAGGATCCCCAATGCTGACAGACGTACGAGGCTTGGTTTCCTCGCAGTGGACACTAGCTTGCATTACTTTTCGATTCCGAAAGATGAGGATGAAAACGGGGAAACAAATATGCTGGTTGTCAGCGACCTGGAGGAGCCTTTTCTCCCTGTCCCACATGATCTCCTTGTGTCTCTCACCGAGAGTCGCCAGAGCATAGAGAAGTTTCTTCAGAAGTTGCCAGATATGTTCCAGAATAATCATAACAATGGCTCTTGCATGGGGTCAGCCCTCAGGGCAGGGCACAAGCTCATTTCCTCCCTTGGTGGCAAAATCGTTATTCTGACGGCCTCGTTGCCCAATATCGGCGATGGCAAACTGGAAATGAGGGAAGACAAAAAGTTACTTGGCACATCAAGGGAAGGTAGTCTCCTGCAGACTGCCAATAGCTTCTACAAGAGCTTTGCTGTCGAATGCTCAAAGAACCAGGTTTCCATCGACATGTTTCTGTTCTCGTCGCAGTATCAAGATGTCGCCTCACTCAGCAATCTTCCACGGTATACCGGCGGCCAAACATGGTTCTACCCCGGCTGGCATGCCTCGCGTCCCGAAGATGCCCTCAAATTTGCGTCGGAATTTAGCGACTATCTGTCATCAGAAATCGGTCTTGAAGCGGTGCTTCGCGTCCGTGCTACTACAGGCCTGCGTATGAACGCTTTCTATGGCAACTTTTTCAACCGAAGCTCTGATCTTTGTGCTTTCCCAGCATTCCCGCGCGATCAGTGCTACGTTGTGGAGGTTGCCATTGACGAAAATTTGAATAAAAACTTTGTGTGTCTGCAAGCTGCTGTTCTTCACACCACATGCAACGGTGAACGCCGCATTCGAGTATTGACACTTTCTCTTCCGACTACCACGAACTTGTCTGATGTATATGCATCCGCTGATCAGTGTGCTGTCACCGCATACTTCAGCCACAAGGCTGTAGAGCGGACTCTGGACAGCGGTCTGGAGGCGGCAAGAGATGCTTTGCAGGCTAAGCTCACTGAAGTCCTGCAGACATTCAAGAAGGAACTTGCTGGTGGTAGCATGGGTGGAGGTGGTTTGCAATTCCCTGCGAACCTCCGCGGCTTGCCCGTTCTGTTTCTGGGTCTTATCAAGAACGTGGGGCTGCGAAAGTCGACGCAGATTCCCTCAGACATCCGTTCTGCAGCACTCTGTCTCCTCTCGACTTTGCCAGTGCCACTACTGATGCGCTACATTTACCCAAGAATGTACTCGTTGCATGACATGCCTGACAATGCAGGAATGCCAGACGAAGAAACAGGTCAGATCGTCTTGCCACCAGCGATAAACCTGTCATCGGAACGACTAGTCCCGTATGGGCTTTACTTGATCGATGACGGACAGACTCAATTCCTTTGGGTTGGTCGAGATGCTATCCCCCAACTGATTGCAGACGTCTTTGGAGTAGAGGAACGCGCCCAGGTCCACGTTGGTAAAGGCCGGGTTCCTGAGCTTGATAACGACTTCAATGAGCGAGTGAGGGCAGTCATCCAGAAGAGCAAAGATCACAAGTCGCTCGGGGTCGGAAGCATCACAGTACCGCACCTTTATATAGTGCGGGAGGACGGCGAGCCTAGCTTGAAGCTGTGGGCGCAAACATTGCTTGTTGAGGACCGAGCAGACCAAGGAGTCAGTGCGGCCCAGTGGCTCGGTGTGCTGAGAGAAAAGGTCAGTATGCGCTAGATTTGTTGGGGTGTTGCTCTGTCACAGAGCATTCAGCACTTTGTCCCGCCACCAGAGGGATATCATTTTACTAACTAGGAATAGGTCGTACAGTAATAAAGATGCGGACTCGACATTTGATCGTAGGAGCATTGTCCTTTTTACTTATTTCGGCGAATATCAAGCAAAAGGCCCGGTGATGGGATGTGGCGCAATATGTCGTTTGTTAGCGTCACCATGTAGTCTGATGATGGAAGAAGCTATGAAACGCTACGGACGATATGATGGGGATATGGCAATGGCGAGGCAATGGAGTTTGAAGAAAGAGGAGTTGCAGAGAGTCATGTCGTGCCTTGACCTAATTCGTGGGTGGTTCATTGCAGAATAGATGTTGAGGAATATTTTCGATATCAAAAACGGGAGAATACTGTCTTCGGCTGTTTACACTAGCAAATTCTGGCCATGGTGTAGACGAGTTATGCCAAAGGGGTGATCAGTCCAAGGTCGATTAACAGCTAGGAATTCATGTGCTGTGCCAAACAGTCGATCCTTTGCACACATGCAGTCATTGGAGGTGATGAGCAGTCCCTTTAGGATCGCAGCACGGAGAAATGTCCAATCGACCACCCATTCCAACTCCTCTTCATCTGAATTGTGTTGGGTACTGGTGATTTCGTCAAGGACGAGGCGAAAGATTTAGGTCCCGGGCATTCCAGAGACTCGGCGGCATCGGCCAGCAAGGTATTTATTGTGTACATACACACATGTTGCCATCTAACATACCCCGTACATGGTAACATGGGGCTGATCAAAAGGGATAGTCACAAAACGAGGGTAAGATGATATATGATATATCAACATAAAGAAGATGGCTCAACTCGAGAGGGCTCGCATATCCTGAAGATGCGCAGCCGAGGGATCCACCCAGTGGCTGGTTTGCTGGACCAGACTGGACTCTTCAGACCGGACAATCCCCTTTTGGCTTGTTGAAGGGTTGGCTCGAGATAGAAACAATCGATCATGCGTATCCAGTACTCCGTAGCTGGCCCTTTTTCTCAAGCTGTAAAAACTCTTTTGGTTGGCGGGTGCTCCATAAAGAGGCTAACTGGTCTGGTGATGCCTTAATAATAGTACATACTAAGATGGGACGTTTGTTTCGTCCAGTCAGGCTGTGAATGGTAGCACTTGAGGTGTGGGAGAACAAGGGTGCCATGCATGCGACCGCTTGACTACTACTACCGTACTTGAGTGCTTAAGTACTTTATTGGTCAGTCGTCGGCGGCCTGCTTTGTTAACCGCTGGGTGGGGTCGCCTGGGACGCTGGCTTTGGCCTCATCTTAAGTCTGGTGTGCATCAGCACGGAGACTCTGTACATACATACCTCACGTCGGACTAAGACAAGTACCTGCCTAAGTAGTAGGTATAAATAGGTCAAGTACGGAGTACTACTTGCCTCTGGGGGGCAGGCCTCTGGAGCAGCGCCAAGGCCCCGATAGTTGGTGCGTCTTGGAGTTGACCACTCTGCATTGGCACCGTTCTCAATGGACGATGGGCGAATGAACGATGGACGATGGATGATGTGATGGCTCGACATACAACCGCATGTAGTTTCTCTTTGCAAGATTGAAGCCACGCCGCGTAGCTATTGGGCCGTCGATTGGCTTCGGCGGGACGGGCCTGGCCTGGCCACCAATTTTGATGGCTTTGTGTGGTCGACTAGGCTCGGGTGTGTCTGCCTTTGACCCAATCCATGCACTTTGTTCCGCCATTGAGGAACCGCTGACCATTGAGCCCGCCCAGTGTTCACCACCAGTGACTTCACGGGCGGGTTGCAACATTGACGAATGCTGCTCAAACCCCCTGTCATTTCGAGTCCAAGGTACTTCCATAAGTACCAGACTACTCCGTAAGCACTCGGTACTCCGTGCTCCCTACTTATGTAAACCTGGTACTCGCTGCGGAGTACTAGTACTAGTACCCCGTACTCTGTTCGCATCAATGATGGTGGAACTCGGACCCCTCAGTTCCTTTGCCTTTAAAAGGCCGCCAGGTGCTTCCACAAAGACACCTGAGAGGTTCATTGCTGGAAAGCGACCAGACCAGTTGACCTTTTTGTAAAAGAAAGCATTCGATGCTGTCGTTTGCATGGCCCCATTGTGTCGCCAACTGACTGCCAACAACTGTAAAGCTCAAAAGACCTTGAGACCTTGAGCCCTTGGGCCCCTGCTCCTTGTTTATCTGGTCTCTGACCCGACTTGAAACTCACAAAGCGTCTGGTGCCTCGTCTTGATTGACACTGGCAACCTGACCACCTGAAGGCGCCTGGAGACACCTGAAGGAACCCCCCCTCCCCCCTTTCCCCCACCAGACCAACATTGAACCCCACCTGCCGTCGATAATCTTAGCAACGGGCGCCTTAGCCATCGTCCTCACCTCACCTGGGCCCGTCGTCTCGCGTCGTCGCCTATTTGTGATTTCAAACCGCCATCGCCTTGCAAGCTAGTCTCCAAGACAGAGCATTTTCCTGTCCTCGTCGGCCCTGTTTCCAGATTGATTGTCGCCGCACTGCGACCTCTTTGTCATTCTCTTGCCCGCCAACCGTCAACTTTAGAACACGAGGCCCGAGCGGGGGTTGCCTTAACACCTTGACAGTCGCCTCGCAAATTTCAGGGTGTGTCCGTCGTTTTCGAGTTGAGCATTCGTCCAGTCGCAACTTTCGTCACACTTCCTTTCAATCCGTGAAGAAACCATTTTATTTATTTCTACCTTCAAGTTACCTCAGCGCCGGAAAGACTACACTGCCCGGCGGCAGACAGGCTCCTTGGGCGATTTTGAAAGGTTACCGCTGCTCGACATCCCCTCCCGTACTTCGCCATCGTGCTTTTTACCCCGCCAGTGCCAAACAGACGTGTCTCATCAGAACATCATGTCCCGTTCGAACCCTCCAAACGCCGGAGGCTCTCGCAAGATTTCTTTCAATGTTAGCGAGCAATACGACATTCAAGATGTTGTAGGTGAAGGTGCATATGGAGTCGTTTGGTGAGTGCGTTTGCCGTGAGCTGTTCAGAGACCTGTCTGAAAGGCCGCAAGCCAAATACGCCAACTTGCTTACAAGGGTAAATGTGTAGCTCCGCGATACACAAACCGTCAGGGCAGAAGGTTGCGATCAAGAAGATCACTCCATTCGACCATTCCATGTTTTGTCTCCGAACTTTGCGCGAAATGAAGCTCCTTCGCTACTTCAATCACGAGAACATCATCTCTATCCTTGATATCCAGAAGCCCCGTGGCTACGATACATTTAACGAGGTCTATCTCATTCAGGTGAGTTTGTCACCGATGTCTCGGCCACTTGTTGGCCGTTCAACTACTCTACTTCGGTAATCATGCTAACCATACATGCAATGCTTCAGGAGTTGATGGAGACTGATATGCACAGAGTCATCCGAACACAGGATCTCTCAGACGATCACTGCCAGTATTTCATCTATCAAACTTTGCGCGCACTGAAAGCAATGCATTCAGCAAACGTTCTGCACAGAGATCTGAAACCATCCAACCTGCTTCTCAATGCCAATTGCGACTTGAAAGTCTGTGACTTTGGCTTGGCCAGATCGGCTGCATCTCAAGAAGACAATTCTGGTTTCATGACGGAATATGTTGCAACACGATGGTATCGTGCCCCAGAAATCATGTTAACGTTCAAGGAATATACAAAGGCCATTGATGTTTGGTCTGTCGGCTGCATCTTAGCCGAGATGCTCAGTGGAAAACCTTTGTTCCCTGGTAAAGACTGTAAGTGGCAACAATCAACGATCTCAACGATCTCAACCCGAACCCCGCCTTCCTGGAGGGCGTTTTGCTTTGTTTTTTTGTTTTTTTGTTTTTTTGGCTGTCGTATGTGGCGGTGGCAGCAGGTAGCCTTCGAGGTAGTGATGGCTACGGAAACATGACGCTGACAGTCATGCTATTTTGTAGATCATCACCAGTTGACTCTGATTCTCGATGTTCTCGGCACGCCTACCATGGAAGACTACTATGGTATCAAGTCGCGACGTGCTAGAGAGTATATCCGGTCTCTACCATTCAAGAAGAAGGTGCCATTCAGGACTCTATTTCCAAAAACTTCCGACTTGGCTCTCGATCTTCTCGAAAAGCTACTAGCTTTCAATCCTGTCAAGCGTATCACGGTTGAGGAGGCTCTAAAGCATCCCTACCTGGAGCCGTATCACGACCCCGAGGACGAGCCAACTGCACCTCCGACTCCTGAAGAATTTTTCGACTTTGACAAACACAAGGATACCCTGAGCAAAGAACAGCTGAAACAACTCATTTATCAGGAGATTATGAGGTAAGAGAACTTGGTTAGAGATGGACACGGACACAAAGCCATGGACCAGGCTTGGGGGCGGGCTTTCTTCGGGAGGACTGGTTCGATCGGTGGTAAAATCTTAATGCCCACCAGGCTGCATTGACGGGGGACCGGAGGTGCCAGGGGAGTGGGTGAACTTGAAGCAACAACGTAGCAGAACAGTACTCCCTTTACCTCGACTTCCACGTGGCAGTGCAAGACTTGGATGCAATTATGCTGCAATTTTCTTGAATGTTCCGGATAGATGCTCCCATGTACGCCGGACGAGCAGGCAGGAGACCAGCTTGTGAAAGGGGGGCATTAGCTAGTTGTCAACAGTTTAGTATATGCAGAACAAAAATGCTTTGTCACAATTGAGCCAACTTTTTTTCAAGAGAAAAATACATATATTCTTTCTTTTTCTCTTTTTTTCTCTCAAAAACAAAAAACAAGAAGAAAAAAACTGATGTTGCCTTTCCTTGGAAACTTGAGACAATGCTCCAAGCTCAAAACCCACAAAATATCCAGCGTGGAGACACCAGCTTCTGTTGTGTAGGTCATGGACTGGCCTGGTATGTGACGGAGCAATTGCGGAATCGCTAGAAATAGAGCCGTAACACGCCATGAACAATATCTCAGCGTTGGTTGCAGCAAAGAAGAGCCCACAGGGCAGATTGATTGTGTGACTGTTATCGGTTGTGTCGGGAATTTTACCAGAAACATGTACTATGATATTGGGGACATCGCAGTAAGGCCACCATGACCTGGGCAGATGGGGTCGGAATGTCACTGCCAGCCAGTTGCGACTGGACTCTGCTGCAAACTTCTCTGCGGTGGAGGCTGCAATATCCAGGTATCTCTACACGGGAGTCATCTGACAACCATTGTCCACTGGCGGCCTGCATAGAAATCAAGGCATTTTCTCAGGTTCTCAAGTTACTCTAAGTACAGAGTAGACTAGAAGGATTTGATCATTTTAATGCTTCTAGTCTTGGTCCAGACTCCATCGACAAAATATCTCTACACTCGTGACCCCACATTAGTATAACGCTGTTGATGTAATAATGCATCAGTCGCCGAAAACCGTTTCTTAAAAAAAATGCATGGCTACTCCAGTCATCCTTTGCTCACTATTTGGTTTCCATCTCGTGATTGAAATATTTGCATCAGGCAGAGACTCACGTCTTGGCCTGCAGCAATTCGCACCGACAGTTTCTTATGCCTACGCACTGCACCCAGCCTGAGGCAGAGTGGTTACCGTGTTTATCCTGCACAAACACTGGAGCTTACCCAGGGCACGCATTCAGTCTGAATACCGAGCATGTAATCATCTCCACTGTGGCTCCCTTCTGCAACTATGTCGCCCTCGATTCACCTCCAAACCTACATTCTTCATGTATCCCACCGATATCCCCTTCCAGGCTACGAGCTAGGGGAAATCAGAGCAACGGGCCATCCTGGCAACACCAATACACCGCACTCTCTTTCCCCGCCATCCCCGCCCGCATTCACGTCTGTAGCTGGGCAGCATGTGGACGGGGCTGATCCGGCGCTTTTCGACCGAAGACACAAGGCTCGGGAGCGAAGCAGATACCAACGACGACCGAGACAAGGACGGCGTAAATGGCGTCTTCACCCCAAGCGGCCGGCGTGCTCTTAACGCCAGTCCATTTCGCCCTCCTCCGCTGGAGCCGCTGACCCTACATGGGTATCGCGACAATACCCCGAGCTCAGCCCGGTTACTGACCAGTGCTATTGCAGAGGAGATCCGGACCATGGTCCCGGAGAGGCTGCGTATTGTCGACGATTGGCATTTAGTTTACAGTCTTGAGCAGGACGGGGCTAGTTTGTCTACATTGTATCAGAAATGCCGGCACTATGAGGGCCTCAGAGTTGGCTTTGTGCTTGTGGTCAAAGACCAAGAAGGCGGGGTGAGTCTGCACTTGTCATTACTTCTTTCTCTTCTTCCTGTCCTTCTTGTTTTTTTGTTGTTGTTTTTTCCTCTCCCAATCGTATCATGAAAAGAGTCGTTAGCGACGTCATGCTCCTATCAGGACTTACATGTGCTTACAACATGTTGTGGCTGGCAAAACTATGCAGACCTTCGGAGCATATCTCTCAGAGTATCTTCATCCATCTCCTTCGTACTTTGGCAATGGGGAATGCTTTCTCTGGAAAGCCTCGATTCTCGCCTCCCTCCCCTTGCCCCCATCAGCCGATACAACGAACCTTACTCGAAGCACGACACTCGCGCCAATACCGTCGTCGGAGAGCGGGACTTCCACCCCGTCTGAGTCCGTACGATTCAAAGCATTTCCGTATAGCGGCCTGAATGATTGTTACATAAATTGCGAGACGGGTTTCGTCTCCGTCGGCTCCGGTGGTGGGCACTACGGACTTTGGCTCGACGACTCCCTGAATATTGGACACAGCTCACAATGCGAGACTTTCGGCAACGAGCCGCTTAGCGATGCGGGTGAAAAGTTTGGTGTCTGGGGTGTCGAGCTATGGGTCCTTGGTGCATAATTGTCCACCTTGGGTTTTCAATACACCTCCGCGATGTTGCTCGCGTGGGATGGCTAGTTACTTTTTATACAATTGCAAGGTCTATAGCGCAAGTGTGCGGTATGCCTTCAAAATATGCTGTTAGACAGCACAGCAGACTGTCATCAACAGTCGATTATCGCTCCCGAAAGACACATTGTTTGGGGAGGACGGAAGTCAAAGTGCAACGGGGGGGTGAGCGCCAGAGAGAGGAATACAAAACGGATACCCTGGAGAATACAAGGAGGGCGTGATTTGCAAGTGGTTTAGCCGACAACATGCAAGAGTCTTTTGACAGCTATAGAATTCAAATAGTCTCAAAAAACAACAAAGAGTATGGTTGCGCCGGTTTCAGGTGCGGCTTGTTGTGAACTTTGTAATACCATGCAGGATCCCATCCGGGCTGGGTGATTCGGCACACACATCTGGCTCAAACCCGAAGCGATTGACCAAATGCGCCCTCGTTGTTGGGCCGATTGTTGCAATAAAAGTCCTACCATCCCTATGTTCTAAATTGACTTTCCCACTACTCTCATCAAGCAGTCCCAAGCCTCGAAGCATGGTGTCACACCCCGTGGGGGAGAATACAACAACCCACCGCTCAGGTTCATGTCGGGTGTCATTCAGTATGGATTCGAACTCTTCTGAAAATGATTTCATAACGCCAGTGCCATATATCACCTCCTCATCGACAATGATCCTTTCGCCCTGTGGTAAACTGGGGTCCATCAAGACTCTAGGGATGACGTCACGGCGTTGCTCACCGACCAGGAATAGAAGGGGAGGCCTGACTTCGCGATCACGATACCACTGTCCATAGTGCTGTTGAATATATGCCGCTAGAGCCTCGCCATTGCCCGTGTGTTCGCCGAATATTTGCAGCGGAGGCTCTACTTGGATAGCCCTTAACGCACGGGTAGTCGCGGGCCCGACACTGTATATTGGCGTATTTTGCAGAAACGGCGATTCTCTATGTCCTCCTGCACATTTTCATATTTGGTATCAGCACCGTGGGTGACACATTGGGGGTTAAGAGGGCTTGCCGGTTGGCCATGGCACAGAGTAGGAGTAGAGGCCATGGTGTATCATACCTCTCTCGTCGTTGACCACTTTGGTAAACGCCTCCACAGCTCGCTGAGACGTAAATATCATTCCTCCATACCTACAACCTGGTCTATCGCCGATCTCGTTCGCTTGGAGCAAGGATCTTGTTCTCTGCATCCCGCCTTCATCAAGCCGATGCCGTAGCACAGGGACAAATTGAGGGTCAAGCTTTCGGCCAAGTGACTCGTTCTTGGGCTTTGAAGTTGTCAAGATTTCCTCATAAGCATCACTTGGTGTTGACCTTGTTTTGAGAAGCAATATGGGCACCTTTGAAGATGCTCTATCGCCTGACTCGGTATCCAGAGATTGTGATGCCATGCTCGGAGTTGGTTGTATAACGGCGGCGTATAGGCTGCTATTTTCTTTCTGCAAGATTGCAGCCAAAGTCGCGTAAAGTATCAAGCAGGTCGAAATTCTATTGCATCGCCTTAGAGAATCCCGTAACACCATTAAAACATGGAAGCAATGGCGGGATACCTCGCAAAGGACTCTACAATTAGAACCGACCTTAGGTACCTAAGTACTTAGATAGTGGTGGGCAATTTGTTAGCACTGTGGCTTATCGATAATAACTCGACTTGGGGGTCCTCGTTCCCCACGCGACGATGTAAGGACTCCAGTCGGCTCCATTGCCCAGCTGCAGCCACCATCGGCGGCTGGCGGCTGACAAATAATCTTCACATCAACTGACTTCTTTCTCAACATCGCATCATACTCTGAGAGAGATATAAAGCCACTGTAGAGCTTCGACATTGACCGCCAATCGGAGGAAGGTCTGGACAGCTGATCATGGAGGATGATGCACGCGGGAGTGAATCCGTCGTGGCGCCACTGAAAGCTGCGAACGGAGACCATCAACCCAAGAAACTGCCCAAGGGAATTGTCTTGGGCAAAGACGGCAAGCCGTGAGTGAACCTTGCCTTCCGCCTTTGAGGCGTTGAATTGCAAATATAAGAATCTTGATTGTCTGATAATCACTTCAGTTGTCGAAGCTGCACATCCTTTGCTGCATGGGCTGCCATGACCAAGGAAAATGCCCGCCAAAACAACCCAGCGGGTAGCAACAAGACATTGGCCACAGATATGTCGCAGCCAAGTAATCCGCCATCAGATTGCCCTCCGGATGTGGAAGCCCTGGGCCGCGGAACATGGACGCTCCTTCATTCTATAGCGGCCTCGTATCCCGAGTCGCCATCTATGTCACAACAGTCGGATCTTTTGAGCTTTGTCAAGCTCTTCTCCAAATTGTACCCATGCTGGGTTTGTGCCGAAGATTTCAGAACATACATTGGACGGGAGGTACCGAAGGTTGAGAGTCGCGACGATTTTGGCAAATGGCTATGCGGTGCCCACAACGACGTCAACCGAAAGTTGGGCAAACCAGAATTTGACTGTTCACGGTGGCAGGAGCGTTGGCGCACGGGGTGGAAAGATGGACGATGCGACTGAGAATAATACGCTGTCAACTCACAAGCCGGTCGACTAGATTTGCATTTTTGCTTTTTAGGATATACCAATGAAGGGGACAGCATGACACGGCAGCTGATTTTGGAGGCCGTGTAGACAGCGAGTAGAGGTCTCCAGCCTCAACAGCGCGCATTCGCAAGCTGTACGATATTGACGAGAACAAGGGCGCATACATTGGGTCGGCAACAGGCATATAGACTTAGATTGGTATACTTTCTCCTCTCTGGCATACTTTTGTATATTACACTAACTACCTCACCCAATCCTATAAGCACCGAGTAGTCGAGTGGGGATAAAATCATGCGCAAGGTTGAGGTGTTCCAAGCTCCTGATCTTTGGCACCGATCTGAGCAACTTTCTTTGGTACGCAATGCTCTTGAATGCACTGCCTCTTGGCGGCGCCTTATGACTATTACTTTGCTCATTCCGGGCGATCGCAAGCTCGGTCATCAATGCCAGCGACCAATACTCCGTAACGCGGTTGGATACATCATCACACATGTCTCCGTTGGCTCTTGGAGCGCAAGTACCTATGGAAGCGAGCTTCCTTGTCCATATCCCATCAGCTGATAGCTGAGATAAGATGTCCTGCGCTCGAGAGCATCAGTCCCTAGCCCTACTCCGTATATAACGGAGGAGACCGTGAGATGCGACATTACATGTTCCAAGGAACGGGAATAAAACGGTCATCCAACCATCCACCGCCCCATGGCGCCAAGTGGCGAGACGCGAAAGTAATGAGCTGTCCACAGACGCTTATCAGCTCACCGCGATGTATAGTGGATGATGAGATCATGCAGCCTACATATATACTTTACGCTCCATCAGAACATCTCCACTCTACAGCCAAAGCTCCGGGAGCACCGGCTCATTCGCATCCAGATGCCGTCGTTCTTGATGAGGTGCACAGCAGATTGGAAGGACACAACCACCCTTCCATCTTCGGCTTGCAACCAGTCTTTTTCTGTTGTGTGACTAGACACCTAAAAATCTGATGCAACAGTCCATCGACCATGGCCGACATACGCGTTCAAAGCCTGCGCAAACCCATTGATGTCTCGGAATATCTCTTCCGGCGGCTCTATGAGGTTGGCGTTCGCTCGTTACATGGTGTCCCCGGCGACTATAATCTTGTCGCACTCGACTATCTTCCCAAATCTGGACTGAAATGGGTTGGCAGTGTCAATGAGCTGAACGCCGGTAAGTTCTTGTGTAGGCTCCGACGAGGAAGCTTGTCTGCGCTATAATGGGCCGTGTTGTTTGTGGTGAAGCCCTGGGCGGCTCAAGGACGAGAGAGAAACCAGTTCTGACTTATGTTTTTCCCTACAGCCTACGCTGCGGATGGGTACGCCCGTGTAAAGCAGATCGGTGCGCTCCTCACTACATTCGGTGTAGGAGAGCTGTCTGCCATCAATGGTGTCGCGGGGGCCTTTTCTGAGCGTATACCCGTCGTCCATATTGTCGGGTACCCGTCGACGCTCTCGCAACGAGACGGCATGCTTCTGCATCACACCCTTGGCAATGGGGACTTCAACGTGTTCGCCAACATGAGTTCTCAAATTTCATGCCAGGTTGCCAAGTTAAATAGCCCATCGGACATTGCGGACCAAATTGATCATGCTTTGCGTGAGTGTTGGGTTCAATCGCGACCCGTCTATATCACCCTACCAACGGACATGGCCGAAACCAAGGTGGAAGGGGCACGACTTGACCGGCCGATTGACCTGACGGAGCCACAGAATGATCCAGAAAAGGAGGATTATGTTGTTGATGTCATCATGAAATACCTCAACGCTGCCAAGAACCCGGTGCTGCTCGTTGACGCCTGTGCCGTGCGTCACCGTGTGCTTCCAGAGGTTCATGATCTTTTGGCCAAGTCAAATCTGCCTGTCTTTGTGACCCCAATGGGCAAGAGTGCTGTCAATGAACAGCATGACAACTTTGGTGGTGTCTATGCTGGAGACGGCTCACACCCTCCAGAAGTGAAGGATATTGTGGAATCATCGGATCTGGTTGTGTCTATTGGCGCTTTGAAGGTATTGATGCCTACCCATCCCGAAAATATGAGTCTTGATGCTAACACACGGTGTTTAGAGTGACTTCAATACGGCTGGCTTCTCTTACAGAACATCGCAGCTCAACAGCATCGACCTTCACAGTGACCATTGTGTTGTGAAATATTCGACATATCCTGGGGTGAGGATGAAGGGAGTTCTGCAGAAAGTTGTCAAGCGAATTGATCCTAAACAGCTCAACATCCGCGCTTCCCCCGCCGTTCGAAATGAGGCGAGGGAACACCACGATGGATCAGCGACAATAACTCAGGCTTGGTTCTGGCCACGTCTTGGCGAATTCCTGACTGATAATGACATTGTTGTCACAGAAACAGGGACTGCAAATTTTGGTATCTGGGACACCAAGTTTCCCTCCGGGGTAACGGCGCTGAGTCAGGTTCTCTGGGGTAGTATAGGATGGTCAGTAGGTGCATGTCAAGGAGCCGCACTTGCCGCCAAGGATATGGGTGAGAAGCGAAGGACCATTTTGTTTGTTGGGGATGGCTCATTTCAATTGACTGCTCAGGAACTGAGCACCATGATACGCCATGAGCTGAACCCGATCATGTGAGTTCCCCTCGGTGAATGAGCCCAGCAGCAACTCTGTCATGCCAGGATACTGACTTGCATACAGATTTGTCATTTGTAACGAGGGTTTCACTATTGAGCGATTTATCCATGGTATGGATGCAGGCTACAATGATATTGCTAAATGGGACAACCGGGGCCTTGTTGATGTTTTCGGCGGTCAAGGGAAGGCTCAGAAGTTTGCTGTGAAAACAAAGGATGAGTTGAACGAGTTGCTTGCAAAGCCTTCCTTTAAGGCTGCGAACGAATTGCAACTTGTTGAGGTATATATGCCAAAGAAAGATGCGCCGAGATCACTGGTGATGACGGCCGAGGCTAGTGCCAGAACAAATGCAAGGAAGGAGTGATAAGCAATGAATGCATGAGTTTAGTTGCAATCAAGATAGCGCCTTCTACCAGCACCACATTGTGAAAGGTGATGTCGCCCGTGATTATTGGGAAAATCACCTGGTTTTTGTCCCATGACAACCATGCCAAAAAAAAACCACACAACAAAAACACAATTTACGGGGTGAAACCGAGCACAGGGTAGCCAGAGTGTGTGTGCCTTCCGCGCTGTGGTGAGGACCAGACCCACTTCACAGTACAGTGCGTGTAGACAGAGGAGACGATGCGGCCCAGTAAAAAAAGGGAAAGAAAAAGAGAGGCAGAAAATGACACAAGACCGAAGCAGAAAACGCCCGTCGCTAGCAGCAAGTTAGATAGGGAGAGGGTAAAGCTCATATCCCATTCAATCACCTTCAACAGTCGTGAGGCTCATTCACATTTTAGCCTTTGATATCTGCACCAGACCCTTGCGCCGCATGGATTCCACGTCGCGAAAACGTAAAGATGGCCCTGTGCCAGCCAACGGTAGTACCCAGCCTGCCCACAAGAAGAGCAAGGTACGAATGACGAGTGATGCTGAGCTCCAAGTACAAGCGCACTGCTTTGACGTGGAACTTTCGAAGCTGACATTTCCCATGGGATGACGTTAGGGGGGCAGCGCTGGAAGATGGAAAACTCCTCATCAAAAGGCTAAAATAGCCGAGAAGGTGGAACTGGGAACAACACTTGCCATAGGCGATCAAGGCATATGGGTGACGTTCGCGAGAGGAATGAAATACAGAGCAATAAGGGAATTTCAAGAGCTTTGTGTTGAGGTAAGAAACGATTGGTCGTAAATTCCTCGGACACAGCTCTCTCTCTCTCTCCCCCCTCACCCAAGAAGAGTTGCATGAAGTTTCTGACTGACTAAAATGTTCAAAGTACGGCAAGACAATGTATGGTATTGAGCCTCCGGCAAACGACGACGAAATTGCCCAAGGGGACGAACACCAGGATATTGAGGCCTCCATCGAAGCAGAGCTGAGCAGCATGAAGTCAGGTGGGAAAGCAGATACGAATCAAACCTTCAAACCAGTCTCATCCGGCGTTGAGTGCCTATTCTTCATGAAGACGATGGATCCGGTTCAACCTGGATCCCTGGCAAAGAAAATGTGCGAAGACGCCAGAGACTGCCAAGATCAAAGGCAGCGCAAGTGCAAATACATCAACCGACTCACACCCGTGGTCAACATGGACAAGGCTACGGATAAAGGCATTGCTAAGGTGGCACGTGCCGTGCTGTCACCTTGGTTTGAATTAAAAGATGAAGAGAAAGGCGATGCAGACAAAACAGAAGCACCCCCTTCAGATGTTCCGTCTCCCCCTTATACGGTACGTGCTATGCAGTGGCATCTGACAATGTGTGAGAGCAATGGAGTTTTAGCAACTAACAAAAGTACAACTTCGCCTTTTCAGTACGCCATTCGACACAACATTCGTAATCACACCACGTTCAAATCGGGTGAGGTTATTCAAAAGATTGCAGGTCTTATAGATGCCAAACACTGCGTCAATCTGAGTAAGCCGGACAAGGTGATCCTCGTGGAAATCTTCCAGGTCGGTGTAGTCTCCCCTCACCTCATTTATTTCTTTTGTCCTCACGCAATCTCGAGCTGACACTGCGGTATAAAGCTTTTCTGTGGTATATCGGTCGTCGACGGCAAGGAATGGGAGGAGTTGAAGCGGTACAACATGAATGAACTTTACAGTCTTACTCCTGTCGTAGGAAAGAAAGACTGAACTTATGTGCCTGCCGGGAACAGAACGGTAGAGGGTGAAGTATTCGGAATGAAGAGCTTATGGTGTTCAACGTTTGATCGCTGTCTCAGAACATTGCCAAGTTAAGCATCGGTCGCATGGGGTGTATTAGCATTTAACTGCCTATGTAGCTACTGTGATTTTTTGAAGCCAGGAACAATCCTCGGGCCAGGGACGACTTGGGTGTTTATTTTGAAAGGATAATTCTCTTGTTGCAAGGGTATACTTGGTCATAGAGAATACCTAGGGGGTGACGGTGATGCTATTTGGCGCAAGTGTCCGACTTAAACGTGTAAGCTTGTGCGTATGAATATATGCAACGGTACAATCAATTAAAGGCCACATAGGAATCTCAGCTGCTAACCTCTAATTCTCGTTCATATATTTCAAACTTTTGGCTTTATTAATGGGTGAAGATGATATAAAAAGGCGCCCTACACATTACCGCATGAAGTCCAGCCCCTGTCATTGCGTCAATTCGCGGTGTGGGCCGCGGAATGCAACCGCAGAAGCCTCGCTTAGGACGGCCAATTATCGAACAGTCAGGTTGACCGACGAACGGGCGATGGACTTCGGAGTAGCAACCACCGACTGTCATTCTACCAGGGTTCGCCATCGACTGGTGGACAATAATGTTCAAATTGCGGTATGCTCCATGAGTACTACTTTGAAGTACATTCTAGCCGTTCTCTGGGGTGCTACTGCCCAGGTTCAGAACTTCAGAGAACCAGTCCCGACCCAACTGTTATTGTGCCAGACACTACTAATAATCCTGTATTGTGTAGCTCTGTGCCTCAACCCAACCACCTGACCCCAGATGGCCGAACCGTACCAACAAACTGACGGGCTTGGAGCTTGTCTTGGGGTGACATGTTGTCGGTGTCAAGAAGCGTTGCATGTCACAATGCGTCAAGGTCCACGGCGTTGACATCTGGCTCGCCTACTTTATCCCGACTAGGCAATAGCCTCAGTATACTCCTCAACACCCTTCTCCACGCTCGTTTCAACCCAAAGCAAAAAAAATGTGTTCCATGGTCCACTCATTGTCCTGCTTGGTGCCGCGTATCAATCTCCAAAAAGCAGGGTTTCCCACTCTCGTCCTGAGGACTCGACAATTGGACGGGTACATGGGTATCTACTCACCGTGCGCCACTCTCGCGGATCATGACGCCGCTTCAGTCATCCCGTCTTGCTGGAAGATGCAAGCTCGCTAGAAGCAATCCAATGATGTCTCCTCGTTATCTTCTTGCCAGATGTAATGGAAGAAAGCGGCGTCGACAAGTGGTTCACAGGTGGCTCGGACCAGTATGACCAGGTCCAACTACAAGGCAGGCAGCGCGAATGACGATTGACTCAGCTCTATACGCAAAGACGTCCTGATAGCCGCTTGAAAACACAGAAACGATACGACCTGTCATTGACCATCTTGCATATTGTGGCTCTTGTGTTGAGACCTGCGCTGAGCGCAAACGCTTAATTTAACCCGTTGAAGCTTGTTGGCCCGTATGGCCAATTCAAAAGTTCCCATCCACATCCTGCCCATCGAGGGCCTCCCTCCCTCCTTTCGTCGTTGTCTTCCTTTGTGTCGTATAGTATTCTAGTGCCGCGAGTACTCCGTATGCAGATGCACACATAACATTGAACTACCAGACATTAACGCTGGACATGGAGGCCGATTTGCGCCCATTCATACCGGGGGCCTGTCTTTAAGGGACACCGGCAACGTGGCGGTAGCATGGGTCATGGTAAACGACGCAAAACATGGGATATCGAATAGGGTCCCCGTTCACCATCTCGATTCTCGACCGCTCCCTGGCACAGCCTGTGCGTCTTTGACAGCATTGGCACATAATTTCATGGAATGTCTACTCCGTAGTCGGACAGACCTGATAGCGGTCAATCGTATACAGACATACGCATGAACATACATGCAAAAGGCAGAAGGGCATTCCTCATCTTGAGACCCATTTTTGACAGTTTTCATATGCGAGAGGGCTTACCTAGCAGCGTCTCTCGCATCAACTGACCCACAGCGTTGGCTCGTACACATCGGGGTATCCCATTACAACTGGGCATATTTCATCAGAATTGTTCGCCAACTGAGCAAACTTTTATGATAATTCTTATACGAAGAAGTATTCGTGATTTTACTCTTGCCCGGCTGCTGATCAGCTTACAATCCGATAACAATTAACGTTTGCCCATCCACACGTCCATCTCCCGGACTGGTAAACCAACATTTTCATGGAGTTTTGCCAAACAGGCCGGACTTGTCCTGCTCCTCTTCAAAACGCCTCGATACTTTCCTTCTGAGCCTCGATATAACGAACTCCGCAGTACCACCCAGAAGTATTAAGCAGTGGGCCAACCTGGAATACGGCCAGCGGATTATTCGGCCTTTCGGCTCGATGCCTGGCCGCCTCGACAGTCACAACGTGCTACATCGGAGATCTTGAGGCCGATACAAGTCCTTTTGTGTTGCCACACCGTTTCAGCGCCTGTAAAGGAGAAGAGTAGGGATGAATGAACTCCAGGAAGCCATTGGTTTCGATGGTGCTCATCCAGTAGACTTGAAACGTCTGTATTTGACACCTGAAAACAGACTTCATGTACATTACGTTGCATCATCAAGCGACGAGGAACAACTGACACTGACCTTGGTTCCCACTTCGACGAAGATTCTGCGAACAGAACAAGCTTCAATAAGCTCCGAAGCAATGCTCTTGCAGTGGCTAGGTTCTGATGGTCATGTTTGTCCCTTAGCAAAAGAACGACAGAGGAACCCTGAAGCGCTTGAGAAAGCTCCCAAAGGCAGCGACGCGGAGGCTAAACTGTCCAAGCACACCTGTCAATTCAAGAAGACTTTGCCGAGAGTCGTTAAACATGGCCGAGTCAAGTGTCCGAATGACGTTGAGTTCCTATTAACAACACGGACAGGTGGAGCTATTCTTTCGTCTGCGATCAACACTTTGTCAAAACCCCAACAAAGGCGTATCGATTTTCAAATTGGACAGCTGGTTCGTGAATTATCTACCTGCCAGTCGCCAAATGGACACTTTGGGGTCGCTTCTGCGGTGCTGAAGGCTGCTGGTATTCACCACACCATGTCCATACTCTCGCCTGTGCCGACTGAACAGGTTACGAACGATGCCATATATGCTCGGTGGTCCGACGCCTTCTTATCGCTGCTTGAATCTGTATTGAGAGACGCAGAAGACGTTGC